CAAAAGTTAGCTTTTTTTCCCCAACTCACCCAAAACCCTTAAAATTTAAAAAATTTTTATCACCCACTTATATGTATATATATGTATGTATATGTATATATACACAAATTGAGCTTTAATCAAATGTTACCACATTTTTGCTGGTTTTCCCCCAAGAATATCATCAAGTTCCTTTTTTTTTTTTCTGAATAAAAGAAAAAGCCCAGTGCTTTTAATCTGTTTTGGGGCAAAAAGAGGGCTTTTTTATTGCTTTGTAGCTTTAAAACCCTGAAAATCTCACTTGAGTCCTTTAAAAGTATATTTTATTTATTTTAGTTTTACTCTTTTATGTATATATATATATATATATATATATATACACATTTTAATATATACAAAATATTTCAATTCTTAATTGGCTAATAATAGTACTAGATAATATAATAACATTGATTATTATGACAATAATTACTTATTAGCATTTATCCATATTATTATATKTTATGTGTATATTAATTTTATATGTACTTGACTAGAGTTATAGATGAATATGTTATGTTACGGTAATTATGTAAGAATGCAACATAAACATTCTCCTATAGTTCTATTATATTGATATTACCATTACTCTTGATTTGTATTTTTTTTGTTAAAATTTCTGTTCAAATTCAGTATAAAATTATTTGAATGTTTATATGGATGTATAAAATATGTAAAATATAAATATATGTATTATATTTTCTATCATATAACATAGTATTATCTTAATATTTTTAATAATATAGCTCTCTGTATACTCATGTGTAGGTACATTTAGTTGTTGAGAAGTAATTATAAAAGATAGAATAGATATAAGTGATTATAAATATAATTATTACCATTGTAGTTAATTTTACAATGCAATATGGCAGTTACAATATATTAATTATGTTGCATTATTATACTTATATAAAAATGTGATATAACATGATAGATGTTTATAATTTATGTTGCAATATAATATCCAGTATTAAARTTGTTATATATAATGATAGATTACAACATAAATGGTATAATATAACGGTATATTGAGTCTATTCCGGTCTCTAATGCCCTCTAACACAGTCTCTACACTCTAATTTTGCTTCTTGTTGTTCATTTTTGTTTGATTTTGGCCATTTTTTTCCCCAGGCAATTTCTATGAAAAAAATGAAATTAAATKATTTCAATTCATTATCTGTATAATTTTATGGAGAAAATATAAAGTATCRACTGTAGTTTATAATTATAAATATAAAATGTAAATTTATTCTTTACTATGATTATTGCTAAAATGAATAACTACAGTGTTTTTTATTATTATATTATTTTAATTCTATTTAATATTTCTGGATTTGGACTAATTCTTTCCTGATACTTCTTTTAAAATTATGTACAAAATAATTTTTAAAAGACTACTGTATATTTTATATAAATGTTTTCTATTACAGTTATAATTAATATGTGTGTATACTAATAACATAGAAAACTATAGAACTAAGTCATATACTGGATAACAAATATAATAGTATAATAACAGGTTAAAAAGGTAATTAACATGTTTTTACTAATATATTGGTTCTATACTATTAATACATCAGTAGGCTAATAATTAGTGATTATAAAATGTATAATACGTAATATTAATATATTAATAGCATAGGATTCAATAATATTGATAATATATAATAATATAATAATATAATAATATAATAACATAATGTTGTTGTATTAAGAAATTGTATTTTAAATAACTAATAGCTAATAATGCAGCATTATTTCATATTAGTGACACATGGCTATATTATTAACATTAATTTGGTAATAAAACAAATACATAAGAGTTTAATACTTATATATTATGTAGTTTTATTTAAATGTTTTTTATTAATACAATATTTAAATGTTGTTTATTAATACAATAAACTGTAAATATAATTTCTACTGTGATTATATATAAAAATAGACTCTATAAATTAGATACTACAGTCATAACTTTAATGTAATTTCAGTACAGTTCCTACTACAATTCTATATAAAACATGTATAAAATTGATGCATAAATTAACCAAGGCCCCCTTTGTCCCCCGTTTTCTCAGCACTCTCCAGTGCCAGCTACCGGGGCTGGGAGTTCCTGGCGGTGTTTGCACAGAATGACGATGAGGCCCCCAGCACATACCTGCAGCTGTTGCTCACCTCCTGTGGCCCTGCTGACACCCAGATATCAGTGACACTCTGTGACGGCTCTGTCAGCCACAGTGTCACCCTGGGGCTGGATGTCACTGCCCCTGTCCCTCCCTGCTAACCAGGAACTCGCAGGAAGCCACATTTCCCATAAAACCTTGGTGCTCCAGGCCAGTGCTGACATCTCCGTGGTGGCCGTCAGCACCAAGAGCACCATGGGTGCCAACGCTCTCCAGCCCATTGAGAGTTTGCCATGAGATTGGACTAAGCCACTCTGTATTTGGGGAAGTTCACACCTGAATTCCAGGAAATTTCCAGGAAATGGCTTGGAATTTCCTGACTCGTCCTGATTCCCGTTGTCTTCCAGCAGATATTCCCTGTCCTCTCAACAGCTCCTACGAGCTCTGCTCCCACACCTGCCAGCACACCTGCAGGTCTCCGGGATCCAAGCATTGTCTGTGAAAGTCTATGGGGTCACCTTGACCTTGAGACACGGAAAGAGGGCAGATGTCAGGGTAAGGTGGCACTTTATGGCCCAAATCTCATGGGATCCCCCCAGAACTGGGTTTCCTTGATGGAGGGGACACCTCAGCCCATCTCCAAGCACAGTCCATGTCCATCACAACTTTTCCTTCTAGAGCGAAATCTCTAAAAGCATTAAAACATTGATTGGAAGGTGTTTTCCCCTCCATCAGCACCAAAACTCTGTTTCCTGTCTCCAAAACTAATCCATGCTCATCTGAACTTTTCCTTCCAGKTGGGATCCATAAATGTATCTGAATATTGTTTGGAAGGTGTTTTCCCCAAATTTTTGGTCACACTATCTCTTCACTAGAGGACTCTTCATTCTCTATCCTAGGTGGGAATAAAAGATGAGGAATAGAATATTTGGATAGTTCAGGAACAGAATGTTGGGATAAGCTTGGAATAAGATGTTGGGGTTTGTTGGGAATAAAATGTTTGGATATGTCAGGAATAAAACAGGATATGCCAGGAATAAGACGTTGGGATAAACTGGGGCTAAAATGTTGGTGTGTCTAGGGAATAAAATATTAGGATATTTCAGGAATAAAAGGTTGGGATGCATCAGGAATGAAATATTGTGGCATGTTTGGCTATTTTGAAAATAAAATACAGTGGGAATAGAATGTTGGGATATGCGAGTAATAAAATATGGCAGGAAAAAAGTATTGGGATATGTTTGGACTAAAATTTTATAATATGTCAGGACTAAAATATTGGGATRTATAAGGTTTAAAATGTTGGAATATGCTGGGAATRAAGRTCTGGGATTTGTGGGGAATAGAATATTAGCATACTTTGGGAATTAAATATTGGTGTATGTTGAGAATAAATCATTGAGATAACTGGGCATGTCTGGCTGCCGGCAGGTGAATGGGGAGGTGACCCTGCTCCCAATGCTCCTGGCAGATGGGAAGGTGCAGGTGTGTCCCAGTGGGCTCCGTGTTGCTCTGGAGATGGATTTTAGCATCCGGGTCTCCTATGATTGGAATTGGCACCTCCTGATCAACCTCCCCAGCAGTTACTTCTACCACGTCCGTGGCCTCTGTGGGAATTTCAACCTCAAGCCGCTTGACCGTGTCCCTGAGGCTGGCGACAACATCTCTGCCATTGTGACATGGGCCAAAAGCTGGAATAGTGCTGACTCCAAGGCCAACAACCCAATTTGTTTGGATTATTGCAATGGAGCATGCCCAGTGTGTGATAAGGAGAAGAAGGAGCTCTAAGGCAGGAAGCACTATTGTGGGATCATTAAAAAATCCTTCCACGGGCCGTTCAGAGCATGTCACCACATAGTGAAGCCTCACGACTTCTATCGCAACTGCCTGTCTGACCTGTGCCTGAGCAATGGGGTGAGGTCAATCCTCTGCCAGGTGCTGGAGACATATGCAGCGACGTGTTGGAAGCACGGGGCTATGGTCCATGACTGGAGAACCCTGTCAGGATGCCGTAAGTGTTGGGGTTTTTTTTTGGGAAGGGAGGGAGCTTAGAGAGTGGGGGAGGATGGGTACAGAGTGGGACCCATCCTGGGTTGAAGCCCTCAAATCCCTCAGGTGATCCTTGGAAATTCTCCAAGTGATTGAGTGAAAAAGAAGGGGGTTAAAATGGGGTTTTGAGTGACATGGCAGTGGGGAAAGGGTTGTTTGGGGTGCAACTTCCTTCTGGTGCTACAGACCTTTTCTGTGTCCCAGACCCCATCCCATCTTTCCAAGATTCCATCCCCCATTTTCCAGATCATTCTCGCATGTCTCGCATGTCTCTCTCCTTATCCTTGTGACCCAGAAGTATCCCAGACCCCATCCTTCGCTTTTGAGACCCTTGACACATATTCCAGGCCTTTATCCTTGTGTCCCAGACCCTGTCCTGTGCCCCAGACCCCATCCCACATGGCTTAGACCTCATCCCACTTGTCCCAGTCTCTTTCCACATTTCCTCCTTGCACTCCAGATCCTTCTTGTTTCCCAGACCCTTCCCTATTTTCAAGACCCTTTTGCAGCCCCAACCTGCTCCATCAAATGCTGTGCACTCCCCTAATGCCTCCCTCACCCCAGTTTCCTCCCCCTGCAGCCTTACCTTGCCCTGCAAACAGCCATTATGAGCCATGTAGCAATGCCAGTCCAGCCACCTGCTCCGACCACCTGTTCCCAGCCACCTGTGACCAGCCCTGTGTGGAGACCTGTGCCTGTGACACCAGCCACGTGCTCAGCAATGGGCAGTGCATGCTGGTGTCCCACTGTGGCTGCACCCATGATGGCCATTACTACTGCACCCGTGATGGCCATTACTACTACAGTTCTGGGGTGGTAACACCTGTTGCTCCAGGTGCAGGTGTGACACAGAGCTGGGAATGGTGGTGTGTGAGGAGTCGGGCTGTAAGCCGGGTGAGGTGTGCACAGTGGTGAAGGGAGTGCAGCGGTGCGTGGCCAACAGGCAGTCCATCTGCATGGCCACTGGTGATCCCCACTACACCACCTTCGAYGGGCACCGCTACGACTTCATGGGTACCTGCATCTACCTGTTGGCTGGGCTGTGCTCCACTGACCCCACCCTCCTCCCCTTTGCTGTCACTGTGGAGAACAATCATCGTGGCAGCCACCTGGTCTCCTTCACTAAGGGGGTCACTGTGGGGGTGTACAACATGACCCTCAGCCTCAGCCAGGAACATCGCCAGAAGGTCAAGGTAGGGATGAAGCAGGTGATGGGGGTGGTTCAGAGTCATTGCATGGCATTTGGGGAGGGCTCAAGGCAATGGTATGGTCTTCAGGTGCACTTCAAGGTCATCACATGACCCCTGGGTGGGATTTCAAGGTSYTTTTAAGGTGTTTAGGTGCATTTTGAGGTAATTTCAAGGCCCTCTGGTTGAGTTTYAAGATCTTTATGTGGTGTTTTGCTGGGCTGCAAAGCCCTTGTGTGGCATCTGGGTGGGTTTCAAAGTCATTCCATGGCACTGGGTTAAGTTTCAAGGTCGTTCTGTCTCCAGGTGGGTTTCAAGGTCATCATGTGGCATCTAGGTGGTATTTAAGGTCATTCTGTGACACCTGGGTGCGTTTCAAGTTCATTGCAGGAGCTCATGCCACTCACGATTCTCTTTCCAGATCAATGGTGTCCTGTTGGACGTCCCTTTCACCCACAACCACCAGCTCCAGGTGTCCCTCCGTGGTGTYCACGGCATTATCACCACTGACACCGTGTAGTTCCAGCTGTTGGTGGATGTCAGGGGCGTTGGGGACTAGCTGGCAGTGCTGGCA